ACTTCACTGGGGGCTTTGCAGTGTCAGAGACCTAGATTCCCTTATACTCAATTAGACTCTGTTACACCTACTTGCACCCATATGTTTTTGTAAAGGAGTCTGTGCTGGTATAGCTTTCCCCCCTGAGGACCAGGAGGAATGTGTATGAAGGAGTCAACTAAAGTTGGGGATGACCTACTTTAACTTGCACATTCTTAAAACTTCCTTCTACACACCTCTGCATTGGTCCCCTTGGCATGTGAGTTATACCAGCTCAGTGTCCAAACACGGAGATATTGTGTATGTGTTTGTGTATGAGTGGGAAGAAAGGGGTATAAGTTACATGCTGGTAAGAGGATGTGAACCTAGGTGAGTCTGAGGGCTGGTCTACACTGAAAAGTTAGGTTGACCCACCATGTCTCTCAGGGGTGTGAAAAATTCGCACCCCTGAGAGACATAATTAAACTGACCTAATCCCTGGCATAGGCAGCACTAGGTTGATGGAAGAATTCTTCTGCCAACCTCGCTATCTCTTTTCGGGGAGGTGGATTAACTACAGAGATGGGAGATCGCTTCCCGTTGCTGTTGTGAGGGTCTACACTGAAGCGCTGGAGCGGTGCAGCTGCAGTGCGGCAGCTGTGCTGCTGGAGCATTTTAAGTGTGGACGTAGCCTAAGCAAAGAAAGGGAACCAAGCAGGAGTCTAACTAGTGTAACGTACACATTGTGGGGCGGAGGAGAGGTACGGTATACCAGCTACCCTTAACTTCACCTCTGAATTTGGCCTAGAGGGAACAACAGATGATTTGCATACCCATCTTAAGGTCAATATGGTGGGACAGGTCTTCAGCTGCTGTAAATCAGTGTGGCTCCATTGCAAACATTGACTTCAATGGAGGGGCAGCAATTTACACTAGCTGACGACCTGGGCCAGAATTTTTGCTTGGGATATTTACACTGAAGCTAAAGACAACGAACCAATAATAAAAAAAGTCCAGATAAAATAATACAGAAACTACCTAAAAAGAGGTGTCAAATTCTCCTGCTGTTCTCTGAATCACCTGCTGCTGCCCTCATCTTCCTATCAAGATACAGTTCATCAGATTGCATCATTCCCTGCTGAAATTATTATTAACAGGGCAGTCTCAAGGGATTATGCAGTGTCCATTTAATAGCAAAAGAAATTTTAAGGATTTTTAAAAAATCCTGATTTCTAATTTCCTACTTTAATTTCCATATTCTGATTAGCTGAAGTCATCTAAAGCAGTGGTAAAAAATGCCATGGCATTTTCCTAAGTGGCGAATTATTTTTAGCCTTTGAGATTTAAAGCTCTCTCCAGGTTCCTGAACTTTGAGAACTTTTCTTCAATAAAGAGCTTGATAGCTAAGCAGATATTTCCCCTCCAACCATTCAACTGATTTAATTAAAATATGCAAAATCTCCCCTTCTGCACAATAAAGGAATATGCATTTTTTAGTGAGATAAAAGACATTGTCTAATGTCTTTATTATTTATAGGCGTAATTACTTTCCCCTCTGTTTTTATGGCTTGAATACTGTCCTATTTTACTGTATGTTAAAGCTACAGAAGGAAAAAGAAAAATCCAGACCATTTTATACATCTCTGGCATTCCTGGAATTACAGGTGCTGTACAGCTTTTGTGAAACAGAAACAGGCATGTAAAAAAAGAGTTTGGGTCCTGATTCTCATTTATGCTAGCATGTTGTTTACACTGCCAGAGTGCTGTAAATCTTATCCTTTATGTCTCAATTTAGATCAGGCCTATTGCTATGGGGGAACGTTCACAAACAGAATACGTTATTTTGATCAGGAATTTGGTTTAAAATTGCTCTTCCTAAACTGATTTTTTTTAATCACCCAAAGATGTTTAGACTGAGATTTAACCATCAAAATCCAGATGAGTAGGTCAGCCTGTCACCTATAAGGTAAGAAAAAAGAGCGCTGAAAGTAAATAAAAAATGAAGATATGAGAATTTGTGTTTGTTTTTTCCACTGCCATTGCAGTTTGGGTTCCCTGGGTGATGTTCTCTATATCTTCACACTGCAAAACGTATAGGCTGGATTAACCAAAAGCTACCCACATAAGGGAACACCTGTGTAATAACACATAGCACCTGTTTTGGTTATTCACTTCTCTCTTTGCCCACAACGACCCTCATCAGCCTATCTCTGGCATCTCTTGGGATGGAGATCACAGCCTCCTAGATGCACAAGACCTTGTACCCAAACTATTATCTCTACCCTTCTCTCCACAAGGTTAGAGTTTGGTTTCTCTCTCCAACGCACCCATCAGTAACTATTCCACTAATAGTTCTGAGACCCCAGCCAGGTAGTGTTAAATGCAAAGATATTTTATTGGAAGCAGGTGAGAAATAGAGAGAAAAATCATAAGACAAAGTCACCTAAACAAATACACCTGAAAGCATCACTAGAGTGACCCTAAGATTTACTACAGGATACTAAAATATTTTCAGCAGAATGGTAAAAAAGTTCTTTTTTTCTTTCCCAAGTTAAAGCCATCTGCCTCTGCCTACCATATCAACCTAATCATATGTACAGAGGGTTTCTCTACAAGTATCCTGTTGGCTTCTACAAGCCATTCCCCTAATTACAAATTACATTCCTCTTAACAGGGAACAGGGACAATATCATGTCATTTATGTGGCCAGTTGCAACTAACCAACACAGCTCAAACCTCAAATATGGAGTATCCAATATGTGCAGCAAACAGGTTACAATTAATCCACAGCATTAAAAAATAAACCACAAAAATTGGTTGATTAAATTTGAGTAATAAGTAAATTCAAGGAAATCATGATCTGCCTCTGGACAGTCTATGTGCAGAAGAGAGGGTAAAAACTCTCAATAAATTATTTGCTATTAATGATTTACTTAGCTCTAATCAGCCTTAGCCAATGCCCTTGTACAGCAGGACAGGCTCCTAACCACTAGTAATGAAAGACTGAATTGATT